ACAAATGATGAAGGTTTATGGCGCGCATGCGGCAGGTGGGAAAGGTTGTCAAAGGTATGGTTCTTTTTTTCTTTTTTTTTTCTGGCTGGTTTCCGGTTGAATAATGCAGCGAGTGGACTAATATCTAAATTAATGAAGGTGAGTATATAATTAATAAAACTAAATTTTAACACTAAAAATTTGATTTTTGAACGTACCTAATAAAGTGTATACATAGGAGTTCATATACATACGGTCAGGTGGAACGGATGCGAACAGGATTGTTTCCATTAGACGTGTTAGGAAAGTCAATACGATTTTGACGCTGATGTTAAATACCAATACCACTACAGGCTATTGTGGGGACCATCTCAAAAAGCACAGATAATCATTCATTATAGTTTCCTGTATGGGTTTGTTTGATAATGCTGAGATGACTTTTATACAATTAGATAATAACAATTTATTCCGCAATACACCGAGGAGGATCCAGCAAAACAACACGATCATTATTAATATTATTATCATAAAATTGCATTGTTTCATAGTAGTGATCGAATAAGTTTAAGATCGTTGTTCCCCCATTTCTTACTATGTTGTTGAACGACAATTAAGGAAAATCTTCAAAGTGATCAAAATAAATAAATAAAAAAAATCACTGCAATCAAATCACATCCGAATCCTATTTTTTACTCTACATCAATCTTTGTTCAAAATGTTCGTTTATTTGAAAAAAATTTAAGATATACTTTTCATGTCGGGGCCTTTCATAGCTTTTATGCAGGATGGGTTTTGCTACTTGTTGGGGGTCATACGGTGACCTATAGTTGCAAACATTTACGTCATTTGGTCTCTGGTAGATAGTTGTCTTCTTTGACAATCATACCACATCTCCTTATATTATATCATTTTCTAAGAGAAATGTGTAGCTTAAAATTCTAGTGAAAAAAAACTAGAAATTTGTGTACTTGACAATTAAAAAAAAAAATAAAAGCATGAAACAAAAACTTTTTCAATTTGATTATCTTTGTCTTTTTATTTTATCTAGAAAGGTCACTCTGGCAATTTAATCTAATGCTGAAAAGGGACTATCAATTTTTGTCTGTTAGTTTTTCAGACAAAAGTGGTTATCGAATTAAGTTTTAAAAGACTACCACATTTGGTTATTATTCAAGCATGTTAAATTTACGTTTCGGTGAAGGGTCGGAAGTTGTTTTTTTCTTGGTATCACGGCTTCCTCCACCAACAAAACACCACGATTTAATTGAGATACTGTTGAAAGTGGCGTTAAACTTTTCATATGGAGACGTTGATTTTATTATCTTTGGGTCAGAAGGATATTTTGAAAATGGAATGTTCATTTTTACCTCTTGCAAAGCCTGCTAAATTATATGTCGGGCATTTTGTTTTTCGATTTCATTCATTTTTGTTTTGCGTAATATTCACTATACTCTCCGCTTTCTAAATTGGACGGTATATAGTGATGGGTGGATGGGTCCATCCGACCGTTCTTTCGTCCTTCTGTCCATTTATTGCATTCATCTCCAGATAGTAGTAGACAATACGAATCACATACGCCATAGTAGGACACACCAAATAAGACAAAACAACAAAGGGAAAAACAGAAAATGCAAAAAACTAAATAGAAGAAATTTAGAATGTCAAGCTTATGTCGAACACGCCATCAGATGTTTAAAAACATTTAGGGTTGTCGGAAGTTTGTGGAGACATCCAAGACACGAATCCAATCAAATTGTTGAATTGTGTACTGGACGTATGGAGAGGCAAACTGAGTTATTTGACTATTAAACACATTCTACTTATATCATTTAATGTATATATTTGAACTTGTGGCCGTAAAATCCGCCATTCCCATTCTTGACCCTTACATATATTTTTTAAGTTTTGTTTTGCACTCCCAAATCAAACAAATACAAATGAATGTATGAAGATCTACGTAAGGCCAATGCACGTCTAAAAAATTGGAGTCGACGTTAACTGTTCACTTCATATTGTATCAAACACACCACAAAGCTAAACTATACTACGCCGGGATACTTTTCAATGCAATTGTATTTTGAGAAAGTCCTCACTTAAATCTTATATCGGTATTGGTATTTAACATCAGCGCAGTATTTAAACCCCTTTCCTAACACGTCTATTAGTTAGTCGATATGTAAACATTACCTTTTTTCTTTGTTGTTGTTCTTTTGTAATTTATAAATATATTGCAATATGTTTTCATGCAAAATGTTTTATTTTGTTTCGTTTCATTTTTGGTATAAATGTATGAAACCTTATTTCCGTTTCTTGACAATTGTTGGATAAGACATATATATCTGGCAACTTTTATCTCAAAAGAATGATAAAACGTTTGAGAGCATCTTTGATCGTAAATATGTATGTTGTAAGATAAATCTCAGATGTTAATATAGTTCATAAAATAGTATTTCAAGAAAAATATAAAAATTAATAGATTTTGCATTGCTGGTCACATTTGCTGTTTAAATTTATTTCCTTTTATAATAGTTTCAAAATAAGCAAAAATGCTAACATTTGTCAAAAAGGTCACATTAAGACGACAACATACTTGTAGATCTTTTTGAAATCACAAGTAAGAGACTACACCCAGTTGGTCAAAATATCTTATGGCATGGACAAAGACATAGTTTCTTGCAACCTCATTTTGTTGAAATAATTTAAAGATAAAATAAAATTAAGACATTGAAATTCTCATAATATGATTATTGGGTAAACTCGATAATATTTTCAGGAGGATTACGGGTTTCCAATTTTATACCCCTCCTGTTTCCTTTTGTGTGGTTAAAATTGACAAGGTTTCCCCACGCCACATATTCCTGTTGGCTAATGCAGTATTAAACATTATTTAAACAATATCAATGATAAATGCATACCTATGTCGTGCAGAGTGTCTTCGGCAATGAATGAAAAGAGAATATATTCAAATGTAACAAATGTGTGCAAAATGAGAAAAAAGACAGCTTGTTAATTATTGTAATAGGTCGTTCTAATTAAATGGGTTAATGACCTCTTTGACACTATTCAACGAATAACCTTGGATAAGTTTAGCTATAAAATTAGACATATCAATGCTACAAAAATGTGCCTATTAAATCAAATTGAGTTAGATACCTAAAACAAACACAAGATATATTGATTTTTATAAACAGCAGATTGTTTATAATTGAAAAATCAGCATATTTTAGAATAGATGTCTTTAATTTTGTTATTAGGAAAATAGAAGTTATACAGCATGTTATAGATATAAAGAGTCAGTGCTGAATGTTAAAAAAACTAAAATAAGAAAACATACAAAAATAAGGGTCAAAATATAAATTAGTAGAAAAAATATGTCAATATCCACTGGCAACTTTTAGGAAAGTCATTTAAAAAATCATGAGCCAAAGTGTGTTGATTCTGCTTAGTCCTAAAGGGCATATATAAGTGACTGTCATGTGAGAAGATGACACATTAGAACCGTTATTTTACCCCTAGATTATTTGACCCCTAAAACTATTCAGTTTAGGTCTATTTCGTTTTGAACGTATATGATGAAGTGTTTGAGTAGGAGTACATATGCATGCTATTAGATGGTACGGGTGCGAACAAGATTATTTTCATTAGTGAGTCGATATGTAAACATTACTTTTTTTTTATTCTTATTCTTGTGATTGAGAATCTGCAACAATAACTCACAGGTACGGGAGACGAGAATGTTATTGACGCAGTCGTTAATAGTTTCGAATTCGTTACCTTTGAGCTTTGACCTTAACGATGCTTAACTATGGTAACAGTATGGGTGTTGTCGCTGATCTGTTCTCTGATTGGACGAAAATGTCATAGTCGATGTTAACGTTTGTTAATATTTTGTTATCACACATGCGAAATTATTTCCATACTTGTTCATCTGTACATGTAAATCTTGGTTTTATACCAGGTTCAGTTAATCTACTGAATGTGACCATTGAAGTTTTATTAGCTCGAATGCTATAAAAATATCTTTCATTGACTCTTTTCAAGGGAAATTTCAGTTTTCACATTAATCATCACCGTGACAAGTTTGTGTACATGTATGAATATTTATAGGTACAAAATAAAGAGTGTCAAAAGGGGGGGTCTCAAAATACATATAGAAAATGTGATATAGATCACCTCCCTCCCGCGTCCGTTCGTCCGTCCGTTATACGCGCCGAAAGGGTTTGCGTCTCTAATTGTTAAATTTATGCTTGTATAGTTATCATTTACATTTCTTCCCTGTTCTTAACCCGTTTTATATTCAATTTGTTAGGTTTTACAATGTATATATTTTGTTCTATCTTAATTTTACAGTCGCTTGTATCGACTCTGAGAAAATACTCTATACATACTTTTACAAGTTAATATCACGGTATTTTTGTTTGAGACGAGTGCGTGTGCTCAATTTTTAGAATTGTCAGGATATTAACGTCTTTTAATTAGTACATTTAAACATGATCAAAAAGATTTTGCTTCCATCGTAAGGCGTCGAATATCTTTTTTTTAAGATAATACTTGTTTAAAGATATGTATATACTGTGCACCAACCGTTATGATAACCTGAAATTCTTCTTGTCCTTCAACTTCTTTTGCCCTCAAGTTCAACTTCAGCCGGCATTGTAAATTTTACTGTGTTCATAATGGTCAATTGAATGAATTAATATCCTCGAACACAGGCACGTATAACCGAAAATAATGTTTAGAGACAAATTCCCGCGTCATCGGGGAGTGTTGATTAGAACCGGTTTAGTTCGTTACTCTGATTATCGATATAGAATTTCATACGTTACACGATTCAAGTTCATCAAAGGCCATTTGTTACGACTGGTACATATGAATTCAATATATATATATTATTTCCGCTTTGATAAAGATATCATATAGGTATCAAATTAATGAGACTTTATGCAGATTATTGACGATTCATCATCTTTATAAAAATCAATATGTATACATGTAAAGGTAAAACAGGATATCTGGAACCATTAACAGAGAGAAACATCTTTCTGTCAACAATAGACCACATTACGCCACGCCCTTCATGTTTCAGTGTTTGAAGAACTCGTCTATAAAGAACAGGAAAAGTAGTTTATATGATATTTTAGTTGACGTGTTGTTGTTTTGCTAGCTGTCTCATTGACGTTTATCACACATATATGTTGGTAGTATATAAAATACACATATGTCGACTCTTTTGGATAATTTCACGGAAAAAGTTACATCTCATTTGAAAAATACAGTTTTTGCGACATCAGATACGACGCCTTTTACGGATCAAGACCAACCTGACAAATGTGATGGAGCCTGTGTTATTATTATCTTGGTGGCAGTAGCGGCTTTCTCCTCCATAATATTGCTGTTAGCGTAAGTACAACAAATGTAACAAGTTAAAATACATTTTTTTCAGCGGTGTAAGCGCTACATTATCTTCACTATGGGCGGTGATTATTTTCGCTTATTTCGCGATCGCCTAAATTGCATGAAAACATCATCCTCGAGACGAGATTGTGAAAACCATCAACATTGATTGAAGGGAAAAGTTTATAATTGGACACGCGACTGTACCCACAACCCCCTTTTCTGCTCATAAGTTTCTGCCTTTAAATCGCGAAACATTCACTGTTACAGTATTCATCGACTGGACTTTCCCTTTTCCCGCCAACATCATTTCAAAATGTATTACAAGAAAGGCATAATAGCACAAAAATGTCATTTGCCTGGTGTTATCTTAACTCGATTCCTTGTATAGTATAAAACTGAGTTTTTGTTACTGCATCCCTATAAATAAAACAAATATAACAAGGTGAATGGCAGACCGCTTTCCCCTATGGGCTATTAAAGTTGGATGATTTGTGATAAATCTAAATGGACAAAAAACGTAATTGTGATGAAAAATGTAGGTTTCATATCAAGACTAATTTTCACTTTTTAAGGTGCTTCACTCTAAACATAGCTCAAAGTGCTCCTAGTGAAGAGCCCACATCAGCATATATCTTGCATGATGATTTCATTTAAGTTTTGTGATAAGTCCAGACATTTGAATATTGAACAACACGACCTATACATATGTTTGGACATTTTTCATCCAGCATTTGATGGGTGCATGTTTATCTTTCGACAAAGGCTAGAACTTTTCTGTGAGATTAAAAAAAAAACATTTGACTTTGATCTGGTATATCATTCTCTAAATGTCAATATTTCTAAGGTATGTTTGACTCTTACTGGAAAAAATCAAGAGTATTGCTGAAATAGCCGGTTGAGTGTCTTCAATCTTCAATGTGTTGCTATGTAATATTTTGTTGTCTTTTTTTCTCACCTGCTCATGGTGCTGCTTTATTTACATTTGATATACTCATAAAAAAAGCTTTGGCAACACAGTTTCTGATTGCAAATAAAGTTTAAAAAATCTCGATTATCTTTCATGTTTGTGTTGTTTTAATTCAATTATTTGTGCATCCAAAAGTACTACAGTTATGTTAGTCAAATTGAGAAAGCTGCATTCTGTGAGGGAAGGGTTCGAAATTGAAAGTCACAATTTTAACAATTCTTTGAACATGTTCTTGTTTAAAAAAATGCACAAAACGCACAAAATTGATAAAGTGGTGAACCTGATGGCATAATTGATTACATATAAACAGAAATTAACATTTCCCTCGCAAACAAAATGAGAGAAAATTGGGATAGGCACTAATTCTTACCATCAAATTTAAATGATATTTTTGTAGTTTTCTTCTTTAATCAATTAAACATCCTTTAAAACAGGAAGGATGTTAATGAAGGTTCATTTTGAGCGTTTTCTACAAAGATATGGGCCCTCAGTGTTTGACACCCATTAATCTTGATTGAAGTGTTTCAAACTTTCTTTGAATAGTAAGGGATAGAAAGGGTACCATCTTCCACCTTCTCACCATTTCCTCTATAGCACTCAAACTTTAGTCCCTTTATTCGATTTAGTATATAATAATTGATTGATTAATGGTCATTTTAATCCAGCGGCAAATATTAAATTCTTTTACGGGACGTTTACAAGCTACTTTAAAAAGTGCCCCCATCTTGCACTGCATCAAATAATCGTTATAATTCTTTACTGAATAAGCAAATTGTAATGAAGAAAATGCAATGCACATGCATGACTATTCGCATGCTGTGTACATTTAAACATACAGAACAGCCAAACGGACGACTCTTTTTAGCCGTTGACGGGTTTTGCTGCCGGACGGGAATGTCCAATGTATGATCATATTTCTATACCCCAGTCACCCCTTGGGGTAACCATATTTGGAAATGTTCCTGGCACGTAAATACTTCTTGGCACATGAAATAGGTTTTTGCCTTTACACAATCCTAAAAAATATATAATACGAAATTGGCAAAAACCAGCTCGTTAAAATATACTTTTTATTATGACTTTAACAGAAAACAATAATAATATGACCGAAAATTTGTATTTTTCTGATAATTTAAACAAATTTCATGGACATCCTCGCCCTTCACTCTTTTTAGGAATCCTGAATCCGCTAGTCAGCTACTGTATAAATGCCAATTCAGTGAAATATCTCTTTTAGAAATATGAAATCCAAATTCTTTTCAATTCAAAAAGTAATATTGAAATATCGCTTGCATCATTTTGATATTTGAAGACGGGAAAAACAACTTTATGTTACCTTAGACATTTGAGACATTTGTATCAATAATAAATAAATAAATGATAGTTTTCCACGATCTTGTTAAATCCAGATTTTATGATCACGATTTGATACAATACCAATAATTATACAAATATGTTCCCTTTGAAATTTAACAAGTAACGAACACGAAGTCACGTTATCATTGTATTTATATTTTCAGCTGTATATTTAGAACAAAGCCTAGAGATAATAGAGACTTTTCTGATAAGGTAGATACCAATAAAATGTTATGACAAAGCAAGAACACGATAATCGAATGATATTGAAACATGACAATAGAAAAGCTAGGTGAATTGGCCACACATTCTCACATATTGTGTCTATAAATTTCCAGTTAACTATGCTAAACCTTATGGGTTTCAACTCTATCGGGTAAAGACCTTCAACAGACATAGAGGTTCTGTACCCATTGTTTTGTTTAGTTTTTGCTTTTTTAGGGGGGTAACCTTTTCTTATAAGCTGATGAAGGTGAAGGTTATTCACAAAAAAACACGTGTCTCGAACGTACATAATGAAGTTATTCGAGAAACAAGTGTTGTGCGAACTGAAATCATATTTTTTACTTCGTCTAAAACTTATATATTTGATATCATAAAAGGTAGAAAATTATTTATACATCAAGAATTTAAATTGTGATTTTAATGTTTATTTCAAGGAAAAAAAGCCCCGTGCAATTCGATACATGTACATTATCTAACCTATAACCTTGACCGAATGTAACAGTTTGTCAATGAAAAGAAAATGATTTTCCGGATAAACGACAAACAAGACTGTCACCGATAGAAGCAATGCACACATTAAAAAAAAATAGCACAAAACGACACTGAAAACTTCAGCAAAAGCAACACTTACCCCTTTAAACAAAACCAAAGGTGAACTCAGGTGCTCCCGAAGGATAAACAGATCCTGCTCCACTAGTGGCACCCGTCGTGGTGTTTATGGCAAAAACAAATCGTGATTCGATCAATGTTGTCACAATCGAGGAAAAAAGGAGGCGATGGTGCTTACAAGTGAAATATATCTGAGGTCATCTGTAAAACAGATATATGCGATAATGGTCAACAAAATTACGATGATGTCCGCAAATCTTTCGAAAGATCACTTCATCTTTACCAATAGGAATCCTTGGTTCAATACCTTCCTTGGCAGAACCCATCTTCTATCAAAGAAATCATATTACGAAGCGCAAGCCCTGAAATATGTTATCAACTGGGAGATATATATACTCTATAATTATGCATACGCTGCTGGAATGTTACTAGAAGTACCGATCTACAAGTGAGTCTGCTTGATGCATCCAGAAGTATTGTTAAATATAATTGAGAATGGAAACGGGGAATGTGTCAAAGAGACAACAACCCGATCATAGAGCAGAAAATCGCCCAAGGCCACAAATAGGTCTTCAACGCAACGAGAAAATCTCGCATACCTGTAGTAAATATAAAATAAACAAACACACAGAAAAACGTACATTTAAACTCAGTTTAAAAGAAGTCCGAGTCCGAGGTCAGAATAGGTAACAGAAGAAACTAAGCAAAATGACAATGATCAACATAAATCAAACAAAGGCCTACTAGCAGTTACTGACATGCCAGCTCCAGACCTCAATTAAACTGATGTCCATTTCTTTCTATCATTCCAACAGCGTTCAAATGACTTGGATGCCAGTGGAACCGACATTTGTCATTTTGGGAATTCCAACTTTATGCAACACTACAATTGTTAACAACCAACAATTTAGATTTAATTGATGATGTTGCACTTTTTGCAGATATCTTACTTTAAAACGCTTATTTTTTTTTCAGGATGAAACTAGTGCCACCAATATACCACATAGTACACAAAGCAGTTTTAATGAAAAATATAATGTTGCCTATGTTGTGTCTGAAAAACAGAAAGAAGTGGATATTGCATAAACATTTAAATATGTTTTGTTAATATACACTGTTACTTAAGTATACTGTTCTCAGATGACATTCTCATATTGAAAACCAATAAAAATGTGATATTGGTGGATGAAACCATTATTTATTATAACGTAAAGGAACTTTTACGTTGTGCGGTGTGGGTTTTGCTCATTGTTGAAGGCCGTACGGTGACCTGTAGTTGTTAATTTCTGTGACATTTGGTCACTTGTGGAGAGTTGTCTCGTTGGCAATTATACCACATCTTCTTATTTTTATTATTACTCATGAATGTTTCGTGGTTGTAGAAAGTTTTTAGTTTAGGTTATCACACATCTGTGGTTTCAACCCTATTAAAACACATCTGTTTGGAATAGTCGCATTTTCTTGGGAATAACGTATGTTTAAAAAATTTTACCCAACCATACATTCCAAAAATAATTAATTGCACTGTATAGTATTTTTAACCTACAAAATAGCTTCTGTTACTCCTAGTGGCAGGAGCGTTTGACTCCAACCTTGATTGACAAGGATTGTCAGTTTTCCTTCCGAAGGTCAGTGGTTCTCTCCGGGCCTTCTTGTTTCCTCCACCAATAAAAACTTACCGTTAATCACTATAGATCAATCAATCAACAGAAAAGCTATGTTTATTTAAAAACATAAATTGTTTCGTTGAACTTCGACCTACACAAGAGCATCTGTCACTCCTAGGATTATGTTGTTTAACAATACTCATAAATGACTCTACCATTCAAAACTTTATCCCTCCGCCTATTATATCGTATACATACAAAAAAAAATTAGAAGTTTAATTTTTAGTTATACGTCAGTTACATCAGACGTTCGTATACAAAATGAAGCTCCTTCAACTTGAGATTGTGAATCATTGAATTTTAGATATGATCTATATAGACATGTTCTTTTCTTTTTTTTTAAGGACCAAAATATCGCCCTCCGTCAAAAATAGATTGCAAACAGTCGCGCTCTTTCATTCTATTGTAAAATGGGTGTAATGAAAGGGTACACAATACGCATATTACTAAAATAAGAAACAAACTTCAAGTACTCGCAAAGCGGTGTGCGTTCGTACCGGTCGACAAAGCAGCAAACAATATGGTGGTGGCATGAAATGAATACTTCACCGAAGTTCTTAAGATTGACATTATTAGTTCTTCTATATTCAGGTCCGTGTGCTCCACAGAGAGTCATATAAAAACAATCATATCATTAACACATCTTAGTTAAAGGCCTCTTCTGAACATTTGAAGGTACCTGCTATGTATTGGTTACCTAAACTACACAACAAATAGTGATATAGGTTGCAATTCTGTAAATATAGACAATGGAATTTCCCATAGGAACTCCTTTTACGGCTAAAACTGTACCACTTTTACTAGGAAGTTTCGTAAAAGATTATATCCTAGAATGGAAAGCTCATATGCACTACTATTTTTTTCAAAGGTCAAAATATAGGGCTGTGCGGCATATTTTCAACATTTATATGCCCCAAACTTCTAAGAGTTTAAACTTATACTAAAATTCTGTACTACCCCTCCCTTCACTTTGGGTCTTCCAAAGATATCAATTTGGCCGCTATTCATGTGTTTATACTGGTAACATTCCAAAGTTATGTCTCCACGAGATGAAACATATCTGGGAACCAGTAGGTAAACAATACAAAAATCTATGAATATTATAATTCTCCCCAAAAGAGGCGTGCATGGTTTGTGAAACAGCTGTAGCAACCTATATTCATAAAAATTTTGATAATACAAAAATGCGGCCTCTAGTAAGTGTTCTACAACTAATCTTTCAGTGCTTTTAACTAGTTCCATAACTACTATCAAAGAACTTGTCTAACTTTTGTAATAAAGCATTTGAAAATAGCGGAATAAGCTATTTTTGGAGTGTAAAAAAATCTTTGTTTGTTTAACTTTTAATGGTCATTTTAATTCGGTTGACAATTTTTACTTGTCAACTTTTCACACTTCACTTCCACACAATCTTATCAAACAAACGTTTTCCTATATAATTAAGTGGTCTTTTGAAAAATCATATTGCAAATTTATATTTTCTGCGACTCATATAAAGCCTTTTCTTTAACGAGAAAGGTAAATATACTAGATATACTAAAACTGGAATTGTGAAGAGATGATTGAAGATGTCTCCTTGACAACATTAATGAACGTTTCGGCAATAAAGTTTATCGATAGGTTGTAGGTATTCCTATTGCACCCCTTTAAATTAAAACCCAAATAAACATTATTGTTATGCACATATGTACATTCACGGTCCTACTATGTCGATACCTATATTTTGACACAAGGTCATCTTTTTATATGACGGTCTTTACACTATTCCATTGGATGTTGAATGCGTACTCATTGGTTTTTTAGTCTTAGATTCATGATTTTTTATCAGTTGTTATTGGCATTGAACTAGCTTTTAATAACTGCGAGTACTCTCAGATCTGCATTTTTTGTCTTTTGTGCTTTTGTTAGTTTTTTGTTTTGCTTTGTATCGATCTGATGAGTTAAGCCCTTTTCAAATGATTTTTAAGAATTTGTTCTTATGTTGTACTGTTACACCATTGCCCCAGATTCGGGGGAGGATTTGGCGCTAGCAAACATGTTATACCCGCCAAACTCTGTATGTGTCTGTCCCAATCAGGAGCATGTAATTCAGTGCTTGCCATTTGCTGCTGTATATCATATTTGTTTTTCGTTTATTGTTCTGTATATAAATCGGACCGTTAGTTTTCTCGTTTGAATTGTTTTATATTTATCATTTCGGGGCAAACATGATTTTTATAATTCTTGGTCAACTATTTTTATTCGAGCGTCACTAGCGAGTCTTGTGAAGACGAAACGCGCGTCTGGTGTACAAAATTATAATAGAAATAAGAAGATGTGGTATGAGTGCCAATGAGAAAAGTCTCCATCCAAGTCACAATGTCTAAAAAGTAAACAATTATAGGTCAAAGTACGGTCTTCAACACGGAGCCTTGGCTCACACCGAACAGCAAGCTATAAAGGGCCCCAAAATGTCTAGTGTAAAACAATTCAAACAGGAAAACCAACGGTCTAATCTATATAAAAAACGAGAAACACTTAAGAACCATACCAACAAACAACAACCACTGAAACAGGTTCCTGACTTAGGACAGGTGCAAACAAATGCAGCAGGATTAAACGTTGTAACAGGCGCCAACCTTCGCCCTAACCTGAAATATTAGTGTAACATTACAACATAGAAAGACACACTATAAAATATCAATTGAAATGGCTTAACTCAATCAAAAAGCCTGGTATCTTGTATCGTGAGTTTTAAAAGAAGTAATATAGCGCATTCCTGGGGTTTTAATGTTTTTTCTCTTTAGTATATTGCTAGATTCTACCGGCAATTCTGTTGCTAAACAGTGAGGTATGGCTAATTTCCCCTAAAGTAATTTTACGCCAGGTCCACTTTCAAGAAGATTTTCTGTCTCTAATTACTTTAACGTGAGACTGCTACACCACAGTGTTATTTAGTAGTCTCCGCTTACATCTACACTATCACAGCCCCGTGTATGTACTTTGAGATTCTGACATCACTCATTAAAGGAGACATGACACGATTTTCAATTTGTGTTTCAAAATGTTTATTTATACTTAACTTTCCCAAAAAATACATCGATAGCAATATAAGTGTCAACTATTTAGGAAAATATGTATTTTAATGAGATTTTAATGCAACGATTTATCGACCTGTCAAATATGCATATTTCCATCCCGGAAGTCACTCAGAACAAGGCTACTACGTCAGTGGTTACATTCATTCATATTGACATATGGGTACAGCACACACTTAGTTTCGATTATTATCCAACAAAACGCATGACAGTGATAAATAATGATTGTGTGTGATGCCGATGGATTCAACAATATAATTTAAAAAAATATTGACATGATATTTTCTGTTTTTTGAATGACACGCAGACTTAGAAGGTGTAAAGATGGGACTTTTTAACAAGCCCAAACTACACTTCTTTCCGCCCACTTTCATATGGAATTCAGAGTTGGGGTCTCGGGTGCCATGCCATGAGTTCATCATAGGTCACAGGTATACGGTACAGATGATTGAGTTTCGCAATTTCAGGTCTCGTTTGAAGTTGCAAACTTCAGGTGTCACTCCACATGGGGGATTTATAAGACATGTATAGTGATTACGCAATATTACTTCATAAGCTCTTTGTGCACATCATGGATGTTGGTTTTGCCAAGGGCACAGGTGAGATTGGAATATATTATTGTTGTGTACAGTAAAACAGGTACAACTACCTGATCATATATGTTTAATGAATACCTGTAGTACGACCATACAATACCCTATGTACTACCAATTAAATACCTGAGGCTAACCCGTGTTGCTAACTAATAAAAGTAGACAACCTGTATATAGATCTTATTTTTATTGCTTTTAAGAATATGCAGATATAAAAAGGTTTATAACAGATGCATTTTTTAATTGACTTCTTGAGATGGAAAAGTAATATTCTTGTATGCTTGCAAGTCTATAACTTCATAAGAAATTGTTAGACAAAAAGCATAAAAAGCAAACAAGGAAATGATACGAGAATGTGAATCATAAGTCTTTTACATTCTTTTTCTGACACATTCCCTATTTCCATTCTCAATTTTTTTATATTGAACATCGAATATAATTATTGACAACTATTTAGTTGGTAAAGATTCAGATGATGAAAAACATTTCTTTTTAAAATGGAAACTTTATTATAAATGAAGAGAGTGTCGTTTACCGTACGGCCTCCAAAAATGAGAAACCCCATACCGTATATTTGGCTATAAAAGTTCTCAACGTGAAAATGTGAAACAATTTTAACGAGAAAACTAACTTATTTACAACAAAATAATTACCGTAGAAAAAAAATGACAGACATGAATCAACGCGACAACCACTGATCTATATGCTCCTGATTTAAGACAGGCACAATCAAAATATGTCAGTGGTATATGTATGACAAAAATAGCAAGTAAAAGGAGGGGGGGGAAATGACACTGTAAAAAAATTTGGCTGAAAAATGTTA